GTCTCCGTATCCAATTCATTGGACATGTCAGTCAGTGTGTGTGGGATTGTCGACTGATGCGTGCTCATTGAGGCTCTGTCAGTCGGGATATCCTGCGCGTACCATGATTCACTCGATTGATTTGTCTGGGACCAGAATGCAAACGAGTCATGACTTGGATAGTCGGTCAAATGCGCTTGCCACGCGATTGCAGCCGCAGCCGCCATTTTCATGGTGTCCAATGGAGCGAAGAATTTGGACGAATGTTTTGATGAATTCTACGAAACGAATCGGAAGAAAAGGTGAACAGAACGAATAACGCGTGCGGGGATTAAAGTAATATTCTAAAACTCTTCACTTCATCTGTTTATTGGGCGTTTGGAATCGTGTATTAGCTGTTTCTATGGTGAATATCGCTATTGAAATCTTACTGATTATCCTCCCGATTTCATCTTCACACACACACACACACACACACAATCCTAAATTTGTCCAGCCATTCATTCAATCATTCTCCGGGTAAACATGAACTTTTAAGTAGTCCCTCTCAGTGATGCCTACCCACCGACACGTCCGAGACGCGATCTCTAAACCTCCATTTTTTTATAACACACCAGTGTGTGATAAACAACAGACCGGGTGAATTCCATACTGACGAGGACCTGCTGTTCAGCGATGGTAACTGGCAACCTAAGCCCCGGTATTTGGAGTTGTGAAACACATAAGGGACACTGGAACCTAAAGGCGTAAATGATACAAAGAATTTTGTTTAAAACACACTCAGACTAGTTCCAGATATTAAACAAACATCCAGGGGCATTAGTACCTCTCAAACTTCTCTTCAAATGCCAAAATCAGAATCTAATTTCTTTTACCGCAGATCCAATCAGTAATTAAATGTTACACATAATAACTATGGATTGATGGCTAGCTGGAACCCAACCTTAGTAAAACTGAACATTCCATTCTGAACAATTTAGATGATCACGATTTCATGGTAGTGGGAAATATTAATTTAATGGTTCATTGTTTTCGGACTGATTTGGACACAATTGGAGTCGGAGGGAGGCAAAAGAAAGTGCATACAGGTGGTATCGTATAAGGCGAGGCCACAACGGGTATCAACAGCAGTTAATGAAGCATCATCTTGGTTTAAGCCGTGCGAATTCACCGGCACCGAGCTATTGCATACCGTTTTCTCCATGAGTTTCACTCTATCGAACTGTTATGTATGCTGACCGCGACCTGATCAACTGGATTAGGTGTTTCCTCCTTGTCGAAATGTCCACACAGATGAGAACACTTGGTTGAAAAGAAACGGGCTCAAACCAGTTGCAGGGTTGGAAGATTAGAAGACCATTCATTGATTCAAGATAGCCAGAAATAAACTGTATTTAGCTACACGACCGCGGAGAAAGCTCCATTAGCATAAGCACCGCAGATCTTATCTGATTAATTGTGTGGGTGAGACAACTACATTCAAGGTCAGATGGGAAAAACCGACCTTTTCTCAAGCATGAAATACACTTCGATGAAACCGAACTGATCAAAAACAACAGGCGTACCTCTGAATAACCGAGAGTGTATCCCGGGGTATGGTTAAACATCTGAGTGCCCGTTTGATGGGATTCCAACTCGGCCTCAGCTGTTAGGGGAATATTGGCACAATCCATGTATTTCGGAGGCCCGTCTGATTTCCTGTTCGGTGATTTTGTGTACACGTATGTATCTGTTGGGGATACGGTGATATAATCCTTCTGTTCTGGTTTAATATTGGATCCTTGGGAATAGTCTTCCACGGCCGGAATGAGATTACGTTCTTTGTTAGTCTGTAAGGTGTATAAATGCATGTGCATGATTGTTTTCACCGTACTTTCATTGTTTCAGCTATACTACTCATTGGATCTGTTAGTAGGTAAGAGTGGAATGCAACAATACAGCATAATTTAATGAACACCCTAGGCCAACCGCATTTTTCGAGGAGAACATGAATACAATTTCAGTTAATATTATTTTACGAGTCACGCTATCTCCGGAATTTCAAATATTTCCATCTTACTTGCAGTTCGCGAAACAATAAACTACCTCTGCCTACAAAACAGCGAATGTGATTCAGGCGATTCGGTGTTTCACTAGAAATGAAACCATTTCCCGCGCAGATAAAGGCACATGTTGACTTCGCTGGTTCCCGGTGCGAAGTCGCCTCGCGCCAGATGTCAGACGGTAATCAGAAGTGCACACACATGTGTGTGCCATTGACATTGTCTGAAACACCCCGACCATCCCCTCCGTTCATTGTCCACAAAGGTATGGCAACCCTGACATATACTGTGTTCTGCGGGGGCCAAGGGTGGGGTGGGGCGAAAGGAACTACAGACTGGGTAACACGTTTCTCTCTAATCCAAATGTGGCAGTATTCTCGGTCTAAATTTGGGTCACACGCTCGCAGACATCAGCAGTAACATCATCACTCTGTAGCAGCACGGGTCCAAAAGTGGGCTAGCCGTGAAAACCGGTGCATGGGAGAGAAGAGATCGCACACGGTGTCAGTATGACACCTTCATCGCTACTGCCGACATCGTCATCACCACCGCCACCACCAACGCGACTAGTACGAAATTACTGTGATTGGCAAAACCTATGCTGTTCTGTTTCACAGACTCCTACCTGTCTGGGTATCAATGCGGCTGCATAAGAAAACTTGTATGTGTGTGTGCGTGTGTGTGAATGAGATTGCTCAAACCGAACCCCCCGCCCAATCCGTTTGCAGCTGTTGGCATTTGATGAAAGCAAATTTTAGGGCACTATGCTCTGCTTTTTGAAAGACATAAATTTTGACTTCTATTCTGTTCGTGCCCTGACATAGAACCGCGCGCTTTAGTGCGTCAGCGCTTTCGTATGTTTCATTCACCTAAAGTAACCTGATCCAAACCGGAGACCCCGGGAACGTACTGTTGTTTGTTTGCCTGTTCGTGTTTCTCTTTTTATCCTTTGGGCAAATTTGATTCCCGGTAATGATGTGATTGCTTTGGAAGCAAGCGAGATCACAGTATACATGTTCTGTCTTTGGTACACGCAAGCCTCATACAATTGAACAAAATCAACACAGTCCCGATTGCATTCATGTGCTGACGTCAGCAATGCTAAGTTTCTCGCGCGTGTGTCTGTGTTTGATAGAATCGCGTCCGAAACATTGGTACAGGTCCTCACGTTTTTCACCTGTGTATTTACCCGAAACCGGTTGGACTCTTTGTTGTTAATGAATTATCTCATTGCAAAGTTCTTGTGATGGTGGATCCACGGGGGTGGGAGTGCTTGTTATGCTTTTACTTGTTCCGACCATATCAGGACAGACGCTTGTTTTTCGTGGTAAACACTCTAGAAAAGTGAGTACTGAATCAAGAAAAATGCAAGTATTCGAAACTTCTTAAGTCAGCCTTGTGATGAAAAGATGGTGTTATCTGAAGACGGTATTTATTTACAAACAAATGTGTTACGTAATACGTACCCTAGATGAATTGCCAGTAGAAGCAGCGAGTGAAATGTGCAATAAGACACCAGCCGGTCTGGAATAGCACTTCTATATTGCACGCTGTGCTTGGATCTGCAACAGGGACAGATGCAACCTCGAACTACACTGTTTGCATGAATTATGGTTAACTATTCTTCCAAACATTTAGCACAATGGCCCCGGAATGGCTACGGAGATATCACTTCTCATTCCAGACCGGCGAGTCTTTGCGATCATCAAGCTAACTTATCCTACAGTAGGAGCTAGTCGTGTAAATGCCAAAAATATATATGCATCAGAGGATTACTAGACGAAACAAGGCTTCACGTTGATTGCGTAAAATGTAATAGCAATATGTTAAGTGTGCAATCAATGAACGGTACGGATTTGATACACTGATGAATGTTCAGTTCGGTTTCGAGACCTAAGCAGCGTCCAAGATTTGAACAGCCAACGCAGAACTAAAACACCTGTGGCGATGACGTGACGTACGATCAGTTATCCTTTCCGGTCATGAGACCTTGAATTTGAGGGGTACAAGACATCCATCGTCCTACTGGTTTTCGATAATCGATAATTAGTCATCGCAGTCTGGCCGAGGTGGGACGAAGTGAGCGAGTTAGCAATCTAAAGGTATGTCGTCAGGTATTTGGGAATCCATCGAACACGAACTGATTATCGAATTCAGCTCCTCTGGTTAGGACAGGTTTTGCTTCGCCTCACACACTGCGTCTTATTTGCAGTAGCCACTCCATACTGCAGAAAACCACATGGAGGCCAGCAGATAACATGGAGACGACACATGAAGAAGTGCACAGGGCTATTAGGTAGAACAGGTGTCTCTCGCCTTCCGGGTTGGGTGCAAAAGACTCCGTAACCGCGTGGTTGGATGCACTGAAGTTCATGACTGCGAACCGACAGTGGTGGCGATCTTGCTGCTACTTTTTATCAAGCATGAATGCTTGAAATAGTATGTATGCACAGTTGGACTGTGTACTGTGTGCACTAACCATGGAGGTTCACTTACTTTTCCCGTCACTAAAAATAGGCCCAATCCCTGTCCTCCTTAGACAGTCTCACTTGGTTTGTCTGTATTATGAGTTTGGCAGCGACCAGTAAAGTTCACTTCGCTGTATTCCGCTGTACGATGAGGAGGGATAGAGTTGGGAGGAATGCAGCCCAGTTCGTTTCACTTAACCATTACCTGTGCACTTTCCTGTTGCTGGTTTGATCGCTTTCATTTTGGCAAGTCATGAAACGTTTTTCTTTTTATAAAGATTATTGTAACATGATTTGTTTAACATATATATATATATATAGGTTTAATCGAAACTGAAGCAACAAGTCCCTGTGAAACACTTGTGTGTTCGTTTAGGCAACAGCATTTATACTAGATTAATTTTTTTTCAAATAATAATAAACAAGCCTTGGTGAGTCTTTATAGCATTGATTTTCCTGATTCGTTTATACTCAGCAGATGGAATAATTCAGAATGTACAGGATACTCCCATTTCATCAATAGTGGTCGACCTAGAGCATGATGAGTTAGGAGGTAACTAAAGAGAATGGAACATTCAAATCTGTGTACAAAAATGACCAAAAACATTAATACAGGTAATAAATATAATGAAACCCCATTTGATCATAAAGAAAATATTTCAGTGCATCACAATCGACCAGTACTGTATATATTGGCTGCCCATATGTCAATCCATGCGGCGTAGAGAGCGGTGTTCAAACACCAGTAACGTCTTTCGTAACGGCCATCATACACGAAAACCTTCATAACGTATAATAATAGTGCTAATAATAACATCTCTCTGCACTGCGGGAAATTGACAATAAACAGAATCAGCTCTGAAAATGGAACATCTAGCTCATTCACTTCATTTACCTGTATATCTGTCGCTGATAATTGTTCCGGTTGTGTGGCATCTAATTCCATACGGGAATCGTCTGTCATGCGAAATCGCCTCGGATCTTCTCTGTTCGATGTGTCACGGATGGTTGTTTCATGGTGTCTACTGTGCTGCGAATTCAAGCCACACATCATCATCATCACACCGGGATGTCGGTTCGTATCCGTCATCGTTCGTGGATCATGTTTGGACTTGAATGCGGTCTCCATTGTGACCGGCATGGTATTGGGCAATAGGTCCGGTGGACGGAAATCCCTAATCGGATCGGTAGGATATCTGGAATTGGACCAATCAGGTGTCAGATTGAAAACGGGCTGTTCCACTTGATTTTGTAAACTACGAAGTGGATGATAGTTGACACTGGTCGCATACAATTCCCTGGTACTCAATGGTTCATAGTGAGCGGAGTATTTTGCACACGGCTCGTCCGTCTCGTATGGCACAGCAGACGATAGATCGGTACGCTCTCGTTTCAATAGATATGTCTGACTGGTAGAATTCGATTCAGCCTCGGCATGTGCTGCGATCGTGTCACTTGGGTGTTGTCCATCATCAGTCCTCGTGTCCTCCTCTTTCTCTGTCGTCCCGTTCATACTGACCGATTTGTTTGTGTTCCGTTCCATTAGGGCACGTTTTTTCGAATTGCTATATCGTCCCAGTGAGTTCATGTCGGTTTTAAAACGTCTTTTACGGCGCAAAAAAGATCCGTTATCGAACATACTATGCGCTTCTGGATGTAGTGTCCAATAGGATCCTTTGCCCGGTTTCTTATCGTCACGTGCCACTTTGACAAAACAATCGTTCAGGCTGAGGTTGTGTCGAATGGAATTTTGCCAGCCTTGTTTATTCTCGCGATAGTATGGGAATCTGAGGGAAGTGAAATGGTAGAACAAGATTATTGATGATTTGGCGGGCGATAAAAACAGATATTGACGAGAAAAAATTGACTGTCAATCGGAATTTATTTGGTCTATTGGGAACCAATCATTGTGTTTTTGACGATCAAAAAGTAAAAGAGTTGCAAAAATACGAATCGTACGAATCACGCCTCGGAACAAGTAGGCAACCAGGTCCTTTGGGGGAATTATGCTATCCACTTGGTATTCATCTTTAACTAATTCTCGTTTGTAGCTTTTAAGAAACGGAGACATGCGTGCTTCTGTGAATCATACACTCCGGCAAACCGCTGGACAGCTCGGGACCGGATGAGGTCGAGATTAATGAAAACCGCGAGGAGAGGACAAAAGGCAAACTAAGACGGTAACAATTAGCAATACATACGAATAGATCTCTGATTTGAATCCACATCAATCAAATGGTGAATGAGCGACAAGGGAACCACCGTGAACCACGTAAAAACAATCCACGACTGGTGAAGTTCACACTTTCCCGTGTTCCAGATGCGCCAACGAAAAACGGAAAACTGGGTGGCGTGGAGGTTGGGGGGGGGCGGGAGGGAGCATATTTCATACATCAAACTCGCATGGAAACTTTAGAATTTTCACGAAACCGGCTTATTCGGTCCTTTCTGAAGCCAGTCGAAGCAAATGAGTGTGAAGTAAGCAAGCCAGACGAATGCGTCGATCTAACGAACATTGAATCGGTCTGTAAGATACCCCCACCCCCCTATTGATGTGATGCCCCGCTACATCATATTCACATTTTGGTTTTCGCGTCATCAGTACATTGTTTCCTGTGATCATTTTTATCTCCCAATAGTGAGAGATAAAAGCCGGTAGAAATTGAACCCCGTGATCAGATAGACACCTAAGCTCTGGGCATTTGGAGTAGTGAATCCTGATATCTGACCCCAGTGAGATAAATGTGTTATTGAACATGATGACAGCGAATTTTTTCCAGTATGAATGCTGGTGGCTAGCTTGGAACTTAGATTGGCAATTCCCGAACCAGTAGGGTAAATCATCGGATCATTACCGGTGAAAAATCGCCTTCTGTTCTTATAAACCGAGTTTGAAAACAGTTTTAGTTCAGGAAGTTTTCGGAGTTTGAGCTTTGTGTGAACATAATGTGACCAGCAATTCAACTATACATGTACTAGTGAACAATACTACTAAATAAGTTCAGACAGAATAATATATGAGGATAGGCAAATAATGCACTTGGATATGCACCTGGCGTACTTGGTGTATTTGGATAACAGATAAAGACAAACTGTGAAAGTCACTTTACGGAAGATGGTATCTCGGAGAAATCTTATTCGTATTCCCTATATAATATCTTCGTTACTTTCAACATGGCATCATATTATCCCACTTTATCTGCATCAATAATCATCGTAAAAAATCACTAGCGAGACTGAGTGATATGGCTGGGTGTCGTAAACAGTGGCGTTCATGCATTTCCTCAATTTCTTTGCAACATTAACCCACTGAAGTTCTTCAGTTTCTCATCGACTCTGCTTGCGAATTTTCTGTCTTTTTTCCAAAAGACAACAATCAAAATCGCCCCACGAAAGTGCATAGTAAATGGTTGTACAAACTTAACTGAACTGAATATTTCATTGATACCATTTCATTATCGTTCTCTGATGGGGACAATTTTAATTCCTCAATTATGTTGTTTAGTAGCTAATGGAAAGAGGAGTCTTACTTGTTATGTCTCTCTCTCTCAAACCAACGCATGGTTTTCACTCACACATTTGCAGATGGTGTAAACGTTATCATACAAAGGCGTAGGCCTAGCCGTGGCTCCGAATCTCANATACAAAGGCGTAGGCCTAGGCGTGGCTCCGAATCTCACTGAGGCTTCTGATCCACTCGACGACTTAATTAATTCGGTTTGCCCTAACTAACACTTGTGGAACAGACATATATTTCTGATTGAGCATGTGGATCGTGAAGTACAATGAGTGAACCAGTTCAAATCATCGATAGATATGAACAGAGTTCCAGTTTGATTTTAGTAGCACGAAAACACGGACTCATCGAAGCGTGTAGATTTTATCATCTGAGTGAACCACGAAAAAGGAATTACACAACATGCCACCAAAAGTAACCGACAGCTCGTTGGACAGTTTGGCAAATAGCGGAGTTTGTTCTGTGGACCCACATGCAACCAACCTCTGATCGTTCGATCCTTTCGAGTCGGTTCACTGCTTGACCAAGGTAGTCAAAACTTAGGGTCAACTGTTGAGAGATATGCGGTAGATCAGTTGGGAACAACATAAACTATAAACCCCCTTGATCGCAAACATATGATTTACAAATTCCCATCGAGCTAAAGTGACAAACATATACAAACAAAACGGATCAGTGTCTGACCCAATGAGTGATATTAATGGATGAGCCGGGGCACACAAGTAATAGATACCATGCAATCTGGTTTCAATAAATACGGAATACCTCACACAACAATGATATATTGCGTAGTCACAAATCAAAAATTGTTCAGTCGATGCTAATTGCAGCAAACAAATCATTCTTATTTGTACAAAATCCTTGGGCGTGACTCAATCCCAACGGTACCCCCTTCCCGGCTTTTTACGGTCACATGACCCATCTAATCAACTTTTCGGTCGTCTGCATTCATTGTCTACTGGTTGTGGTTGATGAATCCGCATGTTTCACAGAATCGACCCTGTTGCGCCATTTGTGTTGTTTCTTTCCCGGACTAGAGTTTAATCGATCCGCCTTCCCTCTCTCATGAGCTGACAGTTTTCGCCACGAGGCTTGTACGCGGATTGGTCGAAACAAATCAGCCTGTTAGGGGCTGTCAGGGCCACCAGCTTGTAAACCTCAGTTTGTCCTCAACACGTCTCACCAACAACACTTTCTAGCTGCCCCACCCGAGTAGGATAGTAGTGGGGAGTTAATTTGGCGACAAGTTCAAGACGTGCTCAAGTGATCGAATTTTATTTTGGCCTACGTGAATGACCACCACTCGGTAGGTGAGTGCACTAAACACTTATTCTTAGTTCGTAGTTTCAGTATCGAGTTGGAGCGAGTGAGGATTCACTTTGACGAACTTGTTCAAAAATTGTTTCTCAACCTTGGCTCGATGATTTCAATCAAGCACTCACCTAAATCACAATAATGGGTTAGATCAAGCCCTGATGTGATTAGGCAAAATTGGTACCACAAAGAATTTGGACTGGAAGCCTTGACAACAAGGAAAACATACTTCACTTGAAGGGTTTCTCCGATTCTGTTTGGGAGAAGCAACGAATATCACGTACGCTGCAGTAATATATCTTTTGTACATCCTATATATCCTATATACATTTGAGCGGTTGCATACCAATTCGAACCCAAACTAGAATGTATTGACAAATTGATCACGAGACAACTCACAACTTTAAATTGCGTCGAAAGTTATGAGAATGATCATCCGAGTCATCACCATTATCATCATATGATACGCATTAAGGAACTGGTCTCTCATTTGAAAGTAGAGGATAGCAAAGTAAGTAAAGCGTAAATAACAACTGCACACCTAATATTTAGGAAGCGGTTCTCGATCGGTTGAATGGTATCAATTTGTGAGTTACGAAACATGATTGGATTCGAACATATGCACTATCAGACCGAGCAACTTTTTCTATGTGAAACCTTTTCTCAAAGTATCATCACTTTCTCATGCCCTCTGCAAATTAAGCTCATGGTTTTGATTGTAGAACGGAATGGGAATCGGGATTGGTGAATCTGATCACTATCTATATCATAATGACCAAACGACTTTGTCATTACGCAATCCCTGAAAATGTCGTGCCGACTGATGATGAAACATTTGAGAACCAATTGTTGACCTTGGTGAACGAGCGAAAAAAAAACACAAGGATGATTGTGGGAAAGAACTTCCTGCGCACAGAAGGGTAGGCGTGTATCGGAACTTGTCACTCAGCTTCCTGATTGAATGCTTGATTATAGCTTGGGATTATATCAAGTCGCAGGTTTATCCTAGATGAGCGACAGAGCAATGGATATTCACGACCGTGACTGTTCCTCGCTCTCCTGAGTAGTTGCCGCTCAACAAACCATGTGGTTGAACGCAAAGACAAACCGGAGTTCGTCGTCTGACGTTCCGTGTTAGATTACGCTGTGTACAACACTTCATTTACGACGGCCGGCTTCTTGGATTGTATAGGTAAGTTTAATGAAGTTTATCCGGAGCGTCAACTCATATTCTGAGGACGCATCTGTAAGGTCTGTAAGGTACGGGGTACGATTGTGGGTTTAGTTCTCGTATGTATGGGTTTCTGATGGCTGAACAAAACTCTCTTATGACCATTGAATCAGAGGTTAGATTTGAATCGCGTTCTAAGGAGGTAACTACATTTGAATGCGTTTTACCAAGTCCCATTTACTCTCTAACTAGTTTAACTCATCAATCGAACAGGTTGACGGGATGCAGTTACCCAGGATACGTAAATCGGCACCACGACTGACTGCTATCTAACAACTTGTACCAACTTTCATATTCAAATCCCCATTATAATGTTCTCTGCGAAAATCTGTATTGTCCTCAAGTGGATAGAAATGCAGTTCAGGATCACGTGCTCACTCTTTAGAATATGGCGCACCCTAACAGTAGAGAGCTTATAGTTGTCTGTCTGCTGTCCTATTCTAGTATGTAATTAGCGAACAAAGCATAGCTATCGATCGCTATGCGATTCCTGAGGGTCACTCATCGCATTTCAAGGAATTTGTAAATGGTTTGGTGAAAATGACATCTCTTCTGCCCGAATCGGAACCAGTCGCACAACACAAATACAATGCAATGCCACAAAGAACAATACCAGCCAGTGTCCGCATTGTTCGAACCAACTTGTTTTTAGCGCCTATCGTCAACCCTAGTAATGAAAAGTACTGTAATAGCTCTCAGAGAATACAAACTATCGTCATATTTT